CCGTGCCGCACGGGGGGGGGTAGCCAAGCCCTGGGTCCCCCGGTCGCTGCAGAGCTGGAGGTGGGAGCAGGGGAGGTGGGAGCAGGGGAGGTGGGCTGCTGGAGGTGGGTCGCTGGCGGGGCTGGCCGTGCTCCCCGGCTGTTCGTGGGGTGTCCCCGTGCTCTCCAGCTGACCCGACTACCCTGGCTTACAGGACACCAGGGTACTTGTAGCCCATGCCGCCCTGGAACATGGTGGGTCAATGGGCGAGCGCTTGTAGAACAGCTCCATCATCGGAGACTGGGTCTCGCAGGCAGCTTTCTGCGCTGCTTGGTCACGTAGGCTGGTGACAGCGGCCGCAGGTCCTGAGGCTTCTGCACCGGGGCTGGGGTACAACGGGCTGTCACCAGCAGCCCTGGCTTTGCAAGGCACAAGGACAGGCTTCAGCGGCAGAGCAGCTCGAGGAGGCTCCATCGCCGTTCTCACCGCTGCTTTGCCCTCGGTGATGTGTTTCCACCTGCATCAGCTTTGCTGAAATCCTGAAAGCAGGCAGTGCTCTAAAAACGAGGGGCTGTGTGGGAGGAAAAACCACAGCGGGTGCTGTCCTGGGGAGCAAGTGGCCATTATTTTTTGTGCAGTACGTTGTGACTGGAAGAGTGTCAATACAAGAAGCCGCGCAGAGATTTGCGTCGGTGTGCGCTGGGAGGTTTGGGGTGACACCTTCACACTAGCTGTACCCCAAAATGCTTTGTGGTGTTAGATAAATCGCTTGCAGTAGGGACCAGCAGGAAGGGTGAGCTTGGTCCAGTTTTAACAAAACAAATATTGCATCTGTGATATGTCATGGGGATTTTCGTAAGGGTGAAACCAGGTGTCTTAGGAGCTTTCTACGTGCTCATTGCAAAGGAAAAGCTGGGTGGCCTGCTTAGTGGATGTTTAGGTGTTTTGTGTTTGGTTTGGGTTTGTTTTTTTGTTTTTGTAATGTTTATTCTTTAAAAAAAAAAAAAAAGCACGGAGGAGATGGCAAAGTCATAGAATCTCCCTTGCATCCTGAGCCAGGATCTAGCAGAGCATGAGCCCTGGTTTGGATAAAAGCATCAACTTAGCCGGCCAAAGCCAACACTCAAACGCAACGCGCAGCGGATGTGCTAGTTGGTGCGTGCCCTCCGCCTTGGTGCGGTCAAAGCCGGAGCTACTTCTGAGCACAGCTCACAGTTTTCTTGTTGTGAGTTTTGACTACGGCAGATGTCTGTGTGAGGGGGAAGCTGAGCTCTGGCAGCATCGCGGAGGTGAAGCTGAGCAGCGGTGGGCTGCTCCTGCGCCAGCCCCTGGCCCTTCCACAGCCAGCGCCGCGGGTCTGCGCGGCGAGCAGAGCTCTTGCTGCAGCAGCAGAGGCTGGGCTGGACGTGGGGTGGGATTTGCTCTCCCTCGACACCGAGCCCAGGGAGGAATGGCAGAGACTGTCTGTGATGCAGGGTGTGCAGGCTCGGGAGGTCCTGCTCCTCGGTGGTGCGTACCACCAGCAAGGGCTGGGGTTTGACTGCAGCGGATGGTGTAAGGGTACCTCTGCCCAGAGTAAGAAACGTGTTACAGGCTGCTACATCAGCCAACAAGCTTGGTAAGCACTCCAGTAAAGTGCCCAAGCTGATCTTTGTCCTAATCCAGCTACCTGGCTAAGCTGGAAGCGTCCTCGGCCCGAAGTGTGGATGCCCGTGGCACGACATCGGATTCAGGCAAACCTCTGCGCCTGCACTGGGGGTACACAGAGTATTTATTTTAATATTTCTTATAACTGGAGAAGGAAATGGAGGGGAGGGGAGAAATAAAACTGAAGCAACGTACCACTAGGATCTGGCTACAGCATGAAACAGTTTGCATACACGAACGATTTGTTGTCGTCAGCTGATTGCCAATGCGCTGCTGTCCGGGTTTGCGCGCTGTCCCCAGCCGGCTCAGCGCAATGCAGAACCTCGCTGAACATCTGCTCCCCGCTGCCGACGCTCATCCCTTCTGACCAGGCGGAGAAGCGGCTGGCCGTGCTCAGGCGAGGGTCGCGCCG